ATTGATGATAAAAACTATTAGTAATTTGAAAACCTTAAACTTTTGTGGTAGAATATTTTATTTTCAGAATGAAACGCCAGAATTAGGGGCTTGATTTTACTTCTGGTGAAGTAAATGATAAATCCCCATCACCTTGAATTGGAGCAAATCCTATTTTTTATAGTAGGCCATTTTGAGCAGTCAGTAATCCTTAATCTCAGATTTAGAGCACTTCTGTTTGGTACTGGGTTAGAGCACTGTCTAGCCTGGAACCATTTATCTGAATTTGTACTTGTCCCTATGTACTTTCTCTATGTCTGTTGTCTGATTCTGCTTAGAATGCTGTTTCCACATTCTCAAATGCAAAACAAATACGTTTCTCACTATCACATTATCTGTAGAAATTGCTTGCATACTCTTCAAACCCCAGAATAGAATTCATGAGGGAGGATACTGTAAGAAAATATGCAACATATGGAACAAAATATGATCTTTAGACCTAGTAGGTATATTTGTATAGCTCATTGTTTAGAAGGATCATTAAATAGGGGATAAAATAATATTAGTCTCAACATAAGTTCTGGAGCTGTCTCTATAATGAATAGTACAGTTATGTGCCCTTTAGAGCTTTGGGTATTTATTAAAAGCACATAAGTTAAGCAAACTGCTGAGTCATTAAAAGTGAAAAGAGTGCTATCAATTTGGTATTGCCAAGTGTAAGCACTTAAAGTGGGGCTCACAAAAGGTATACGATTTGTTTAACATTTACATATATCAAATATAGATCCGCGCCCCCCCCCCACACACACACACTTTTTAGGCTTTTTAGAGTGTGCATAGGAGATATTTTAAAACTTTTCATGCAACCAAGAGGAATACAAGTTTATTTGAGGGGAAATAAAATTGGAGATTCTATAGACTCCAGGAGCTGGGTCTTCAGGTAAAACCCATCAAATGTTGTAAGATGTGCAGTAAAATTGGCAAAACTCAAATTTTCAACACAGGAAATTTATATATTTATGATTAAATTCTGCACTTGGATGCAAACGTGTGGCTTTCATTAATTTCCACTGAAGCTACAGCCCATATGTTAAGTCCAAGCACAGAAATTACCTAATAGGCCAAAATGTAGCCAAAAGCCATTTAGAAAGTGATTGTGTGTGTTTGTTTTCCTTAGTAATTTAAGAATGTGTTGAGGGTCAAGTGTTGAGCTCCTTACTCATTATTTACACAGTAAATCTACTAAACCCATTTGAAATGAATGGTAATTTTCCTGAGCCAGGACTGAGTAAAAATTCAAGAGCCAGATGTCCCATTTAAATTTGGGATTATGAAGTGAGACTTGATGTAGTGGCATAGTACCTGGCATCTACAGGTCTGAAGGCAGAACAGAACACCATGCCTCCCATTTTTTTGAACGGGGAACATTCTGTTGCCTCAATGGAATAATCTGGGGCAAATTTTGCAGGTGACATCTGTAGTATGCTGAGGTTGTAGATCCCTGGTAGGGCCTCCTTAGAGCCTGTGTTCAGCCCTACTTTTATAGAAGAAAACCACTTTTGATGTTTGTGCAGGCCACTGCAGTTGTAGAAGAGGGCGAGGCAATATTTTCCCAGGTGAGCGTGCAACTCCTGTGAATACTTAAAGGTACTAGGTCTGCATCAAAAGGAGAATTAAGTCCTGGCTTGTCTGTTCATTGTTTTCATAGATCTCGTATCTTCCCATTCCTCACAAAACCCTGGCCCTTTAAATCTTATGCAAGCCTAGCACTTTGTATTTTTGAAAAATCTCAGAGTTTTCATTTTATAAAGCTGCAATGTATATGCAATACCCCAGCTGAGGCTGGGTGAATCCACTGCAATAAATTTAGTAAAAAATTTAAAATAGTAATAAAGAATTACTACTTTTTTATTAGGGTGGATTCGAAAGAGATGGAGCTAGACTGTTCTCAGTGGTGGCAGATGGCAGAATAAGGAGCAACGGTCTCAAGTTGCAGCAAGGGAAGTTTAGGTTAGATACTGGGAAGAATTTTCTCACTAGGAGGGTAGTAAAACACTGGAACAGGTTACCCAGAGAGGTGGTGGAAGTACCATCCTTGGAGGTATTCACAACACGGCTAGACAAAGCTTTGTTTGGGATGATCTAGTTGGGGATGGTCCTGCTTTGAGCAGGGGGTTGGACTAAATGACCTCCTGAGGTCCCACCCAACCCTAACTTACTATGATTCAATGATTCTATCATAAAGCAGTATGGGATTTGACCTACAGGGTGCAGTGGTTTCTTTTGTTTTATGTCTGGGGAACAAGGTATGTTTTATACATGTTCTCCTGTGGAATGGACTTAACACATTACTGAGAAGATGTCTTATTAATCTAAATTTACCACTTAGAGTCTATATAACTCACTGAAATAACAATAATAACACTTTAATAGACGCACCAACATTTGTTTTTATGTTTTGTCCTATCAAACAGAAAGAAATAGAGCAAATGTTGTCTGCCTGTAGAAAGTTAAAATAGTTACAAGGGGACTGACAATATTTCTTTAGTCGTTTGACCTATAAACAGCTTCCATCTTTCTAGATTAGTGTGTGTTGTATTTCTGTAGTTTCTTTCATGTGGGAGTGTGAAGAATGACTCAATAACCAAAGTGAAGAAGCGTCAGTGTCATGTGGTATGCTGGAAATAGGAAGTAATTGATTCACGTCCATCTAAAGTGCCACATTTGCCTCAGCTCTCCACTACAGGTGACAGCAAAGAGGAATTAAAATTGACAGTTAAAATTAGTGTGAAAGGGTACAATTGTATTTCCACAGCATGGTTCCCCCCCTTTTTTTTTTTCAGAAGCTGAAGTCTTTTTTTCAGAAAGACCCACCATGGTAACACTACAAGGTCGTGACTTTGTAGCTTTTGATTATGCCACAGTGGTTTGGTTGACAGCCATTATCTATAGCTCACTGGGTATCAGCACAGAAGTTTAATGCTGCACTTTGCAGCATTCACTTTTGTTCTCTGCCTGCAGGTCCCCTAGAGAGTGTTTGTTTTCTGTTTTTTGTTTTCAGCAGTTACAGGCAGGGATACCACAGCTCCTCAAGGAGCCATACTGGAGCGGGGGCCAGGGAGGATTATGTAGGAGCAGCTCCTCTGTGAAGCCAAAGTTTCCCTTGGGTAACCATGCTTGACACCCAACCCCCTTCATATGAGGAATTTATGGGAAGCTTCCTTATTTCCCCTCCCATTTTTTTTTTTACCACAACAAAGTCTGAAAGGGACGATGTTTATTTGTACAATGAGACTCCATTATGTTTTAGAATAAATCATCATCCCATGGGTGCCCTGTGAACTGCCAATTTGTGATATCTCCAGTCAAACAACATAACAGCAAGAAAAGTTGGGTCAAGGATGTAAGTCTGGACATGATTTGATCCTGAACACAAGTACATCAGGAATAATTCCATTGAAGTCAAGAGGGAAACACCTGCTTAAAGCTGGAGATCAGAATAGTGTCTTTTGATTTTAATTCAGCCCATGGTTTGCATTTGTGCCACTCTGTATTGCAGCTGCCTCTCTGATTATATCTTTGCATTCTCCCCCTAGGATTTTACCTTCAAACTCATAAAATGTGCAGTCTACAATCTGCTTTGAGTTTTTCTCTTCTGACTCCATCCTACATTGATATCTGTCCTCACCATTCCAGAAAAACTTCTCTTGTTAAGGTCTCTAATGAATTCTTCCTGGTCAGATATGGATGCCTCTGCTTCATCCTCTTTCTTTTTAATTTCACTGCTCCATTTAATATTGATGACTTCTTCCTCTTGGTTGAGCTCTTTTTGTTTCTTACCTTATTGTGGAAGGGGAGCCAAAAAAGAACAGAATCACATGTACTATGATTGTCTGTACTTGTAGAGTGTCTTTTGATGGATTAACTTCTCACCTGCTGTCACTTGCCATGGTCCCAAATGGCTCTGCCTTTGGATGTATTCTTTTCACTGTCTGCTCCCTACCACCGTCTAACTTCTTCCACTTGCATAATTTTAACAACCACTCTTGTACATGAGTAGTCACAGAATTACCTTTCTATTTTTGACCTGTCTTCTTCCTCTCCTGTCTTACAACTCAATTTCCTGAATGCCCCACCTCCATTAAAACAAACTCCTGATTTTACCTTATGTGATAAGGGGAGATTTATGGAAATAGATGCCATATTTGGCTAACTTTGAAAGACAACATAGAGGAAATGGGCCCTCAGGAGCATAATGAAGAAAAGGTGATAACAGCTTTGTGGATCATGTCAAGAGGTCCATCCAGTGCATGGGGATGTGGAGGGAGAAGGTAGTTTCTGGAGAAGTTTTGGTTGCTGGAAAAATGAACAAACAAAGCCTGACATCCTTTACAGAGTAGAAGGATGGTGAGGCTTCATGATGGGACAAGTCAGAGGAGCAGAGAGACTGTAGAACTCTGAACAATTGCACATATTAGGACAGACTCCTATGCTGTTATGAAAATATGGGGTTCATTGATAACTGTACAGTGTAACTGTGTTTTCATTATAGAAATTCAAATATAGCAAAACTGTCCATAGCATTAGTGTGAGATTGATCACACATGCAGCAGATTGGAATGTGTTTGTTCAGCATTTTATCTTAAAGACAATATCAAGAAACTTGGCCTTCATGCAGTGGAGGAGGGGAGTCTAGTGCAGGGAGGCGAAGAGAGGGAAGGAGGTGATGTTGATGATAAGAGGGCTAAGGAGGCTTTGTTGGGATGCAGGTGGGGGGCATAAGGACACTGGAAATGACATTGAGAATCTTTCTTTGGCAAAGGAGAGAGGGAACAACGATAGACAAAGAGTCAAAGGGAGGAAAATGTAGTGTGTTGTCTTAAAAATATGGCTTGAATAGGCCATGTGCTTCTCCCTTCACATTCTATCTCACTTAACAGTGAGAAGACTTTTTTTTCCAGTTTATGGTTTAGTTGGTCAGGCATGACTTTTAACTGAATGATGTTTGTTTTACAGTTGACATCAACAAACAGGAGATGCTTCAGAGGAAGAAGAATGCTGTTTTGGTAGATGGTGTTTTTCTGAATGGTCCAATAGCAGATGCAAGAGCAGGAGAGAAATTTGTTGAAGATGCCTGTAAGATTATAATGGAAGAAGTGATACAGAAAGCTGCTGATGTAACAGAGAAGGTATGAGAGTCAGCATGAGAGTCTGTTGTTTATTGCTAATTAAATCTATTACCTTAGCTTTCCAAGATAGCTAAATTTTATTATGCTTAAATGCCATCGAACTTCCTTTTAGTGTGTTCTCTGGCTCTGAAATAAACTATAACCTTCCAAATTAAAACCATAGGATATCATAAGACCTTTTAGTAGCATAAATCAAAATATGTGTCTACAAGAAACTTGTCTGCTTTACTTTGGAGAATCTAATTTGCTTTTTTGTCCTGGGGCCATGTTCACTCTTGAGTGCACACCTGGATGATATAGGCAGACAAGGTTCCTTGGGTGAATTTGATATCTTTTATTAGACCAACCCAAATAGTTGGAGAATAGCTATTAAGCAAGCTTTTGGGTTCAAAAACCCTTCGTCAGGCTAAGGAAGTTTCAGCAGTTGGTGCGTGCTCTTCCTGCCTATGTCCTTAGACCAACACGGCTACAACCTACACCTCTGCACCTGGATGATATATGTTCAGAGATATATCAATATACATTTGGTGCATCTCTGAGCCTAGAAGCATAGCTGTTTGACTGTAGGATTTTGTCTTGAAGGTTGGGGAGCATGGTACCACTGGAGTAGGGCATTGTTACCGACTGATCTGAGATCCTGAGGATCCTGAGTATTGAAATGACTTGGGAAAGGTGCTGGATTGGCAAACCTTCTCTGCTTTTGGGCATGTGCTCTTACAGCTCCAAGCCTCTGGAGATACTGAAAATACTGGGATTGCACAAAAGTGACAGTAAACTGAATTTGCCCTGAAGAGTTGTTATATTTAGTGAAAATACACAGACCAAGCAATATAGTTTGGTCTTCAGATTCCAGGTTGAGTTTGCAGCTCCAACCATTCCAAAAACATGTTCTTTTTCTTTATTTCGTTTTTTCTTTCTTTTTTTTTTTTTAACAGAGCATGTTTGGTCAGGTAGTCCTGATATGTAATAAAAATAGGATTAGATGAGGCCATTTTTACAATCATTTTTCAAGATAATATTCCACTTTAAAGTGCAGTTTTCTTACTTTGGAAATCATTACTGAAACCATTGCTGAGTTAGCAGCATAACACTTATCTTCCCTTCAGCTAACATTTATTTTTGCTGGTATTCCCCCCCACCATAATTAGGTTTGTGAATGGCAGCCTCCTGAAAAACTGAAAAAACTTCTTGATCTGGAAATGAGGGATACTGGAGAACCTCACCAGCAACTCTTGCAGCTTTGCCAGGATGTTATACGATACAGCGTCAAAACCAGTAGGAAATTTGATTTCTAATTATGTTATCTTGCTCCCCAAAACTATGAAGTCAGGCTATTTTCTCCTAAGATTTGTTACTCTGCCGGAAACAAAATGACATTTTGCCAACATCAGCATTTTCTGCTTGCCTGTGACTATACAAAAGCATTGGTTCTGCTACAGCTGTTCAAATAAATGCTGGCATAAGTAATTATTTTCTCCTTCATATCTAGTCCTTATTGTAAAATGAGGTTATTATGCATACCCAAGACACCTGGATCTTCAGTGTGATCACATGGACTCCTGAGGGTGACCAAAATCTGTGAGATGTTTTAAAAAAGTAGTAATCCTGCAAGGGATTACCATTGATGCTATTGGGAGAGTCTGCTATTCTAAAGTCTCCTGAAAGACACTTTGGCCTCTAGACAGGTATGGAATAGGATATAAAAAATTACCAAATCAAGCAGGGTAAGACTCTTTAACCCCAAGATCCCTGCTTAGGACTTCATGTTGTCTGATTGATTAGTAGTGATGTCAGATTCAGTGCCATCTACTGCAAATAAGGCAAAATTATTTCAGATGGTTGATAAGAAATTGACTGTGCTTACTGTGAACATGTTGCAAATGGGCCATTTGCAAAAACAAAGTCAATCTTATTGCATGCTTTAAATCAAAGTTTAAACATAATCAGGTGACTGAGTATATACCAGCTGCTTAATGCATGGATACAAACCTAACCTGGAGTATGATCCTGTTAGGTGCTGATAATCTCTTTATCAGATGCTAATCTGCTGACTGGACAAATATCCTACTCTCTTCAAAGGAAAATGAGAATGCACATCATCTTGGGGAAGGAATCCAGTACCTTGCAGAATTAGTCCTAAATAGTTAACCTTAATGAAGATAATATCGCATTGTTAAATTTCAGCAGAAACAAATGAATAACATCAGTTTTGGAAGTAGTATGGTGTGTACTACAAGTCCAGATAAAATTTCAGAAGCATAGCCACCTGCTTACGCTGTATTTCAAAAAGCGTGAAGGGCATTTCACATAGCTACATTGCTTGCATAGGTCATGTTCCCTGCTAAAGACACTGTTGCTACAGAATAAAATAAAAAAGGACACGGAAAGTAGCAGTGTGATCTGGAGGGTCTTGTGCAATATTAATATGCAGATACCATTGTAGAGTCAGTGGAAGATGTTCTCTCTATCCTCATTTTTGTTGTTCGTGTTTACATTTTCAGTTACGCACAGCCACGTTAGAAAAGTGTGTTAAATTTAAAAATATGATGCATGAATAAAATCTTGCAAAGGCTTCAGATTTAAGACCTCCTACTCCTATTATAATTCTACCTTGTTTTGTAAATATCTACTTACGGTGCACTGAGTTAAAGTCAAGGTGATAGACCCGAGTCTGTATTAAATTGCTTTTATCATCTGAAAAGTCAGATCATTTAATTTAATATTTCAGCACTTCAAAGTCATATCACCTTAAACTAAAGCAGTAAGTTACAAAATCATTTTTCTTTTTTCCTAATATTTTTCAGAAAATGCAGGAAAAGGAAGGAGATATATTATCCTTTAAAAAAATTAACATGGAAAAGAAAATCTTTTGTTTCACATTTCTCCCTCCTTTTTGGAAAGAGGGCATATAAAAGAGGAAAGCAAACTAGAAAAAATAATGTAATCAGTCCACTGAGGCCAAATCTTGTTTGCTTCATTTGCATGACTAGTTCCAACTCGCATTAGTTTCATGAATATGAGGAGTGGCAAAGGCTAAAGAAACAGTATGGGTTGGTCATATCTTAAATAAATAAATTTAAGCACAGGGGGCAATTAAGAATGAGATTTAGGAAGCAAAAGGCTGACTATTCAATTCCCAGCTCACAAGATCAGGCCCTCCCATGAAGGAGGTAAGCATGAGGCCTATGCAGTACCAGCATGTTAAGCTGTTTTGGGACTTGATCTCAGTTGTCAGTTTTGCCCCTTGTGAAAACATTAGTCAAATTGGGAAGAAGCAGGAGAGTAATACAAATACTATGAGGATAATGGAATATAACTTTGTTTGTTCCTGTAGCATATTTTAACCTATGCACCTACATTCTTGTGGTTAGTAGAGAGGGGCTGTCATATATGTAATTTCACATGTGCTGAAATACTTTAATTTTTTTTTTTGCATTTTCAGATCACCCAAGATTTTTCAACCAGTTGTATGCTGGCATTGATTATTACTCTTTAGTTGCTCGTTTTATTACTGAAGCACTAAATCCAAGTGTGTAAGTGAATCTGTCATGTAACTGTTAACTGTAGAATGGTGTTTTAAAATTCCAGAATGTCTTTACTTTGAATTCCTTCTTCAGTAAGAGGATCTGAAAGAGCTCCCCTTTGCAGGAACAGAGAGGGTGGGGGGGTGCATCTTGCAAGAACTTGGGGAGATAACATAGTGTCTTGGCACTATAAGGCATCAGATATGTGGGTAGACTTGTGGGGCACATTCAGATGAGCATGGTCGTGCAGTATGTGGTGCCACAAACACGTTTACAGCACCACATACCACACAGTCTGGTGTTCTCTGCTCTGCAAGGGCATGCTGCCCAAGCATGATGACCTCCTGCTGTTCCTTCTAATCCTAATTTTCTTTGATTCTATGAATAACATAAATAAATAAATAAATAAAAAGAAGGAAGATTTGCATTAAAAATAAACTGATACAGATATACCTCTGTTCTCTGAAACAACTTATGTAGACCTGCACTTAAATGGTTACTTATCTGGGCAGGCAGCAATTTGCCAATAGTTATAAATGCAAAACCAGAAGCATAATTTGCACGTAAGGGGTAACATTCCACAGTAGCGTAGTGCTTTAACTACTGTTCACTTAATGTGAACCACATGACTAACATTCTTGTGTGCACTGTTTGAAAATATAAAGCTCAATATGACATTGCTGTTAGGAACAGAGGACTTTAATTCAGTATCCTGCTGGCAATGGCCAGCATTGGATGCTTCACAAGAAGGTGCAAGAATCCCCACAGAAGGTAAATATTGGGCAGTATTAGGAACTAGGAAGCATATAACAGGTAGATATTGACTTAAACTTCAAAGCATGAAGTGTTAGCTACTTTAGCTATTTTTAGAATTTATAAATCTGGAGACTCTTGTTGTTCATATAAACGTCCAATCCTTCTTTGAATCTTGAGAAATTCTTGGCCTTAACAATATCCTGTGGCAATAAGTTCTGCAATGTGTTGCTAATCATTATATGCTTGTATCTATGCAGATATACGTATGAGGTATCACCTGTGTTTTTGTTAGTAGAAGAAGCAGTCCTGAAGAAAATGATTGAATTTATAGGCTGGAATGAAGGTGATGGCATATTTAATCCAGGTAAGAAAACTTTTCATCTTCAGGCTTCCAAACTAATTTACAGGAGCTGCAGGAAACTAGTGATTAAATATTTAGTGAGTAATTCACTCATGCCTAACGTCTTTGAAAGTCATATGATTTGGGCATTTAATAAAGCTGTTTCATCTAGGTTTATCTTGTATGTTTCTAGACCATATTAATAATTCTGTAGTCACATAAAATAAGACAGCTCTCTCAAGTATTAAGAAAACTATATACTGAATTAAAGAATTGATTCTAATACCTGTGGACTCGGAGCTTATTGTATTCTTACTAATGCCAACTCTCACACTTTTCTTGACTTGAGTCAGGCATAGAGTAAGGCTGTATGGAAGCATGAGAATGAGCTAATTAACTGGAACTGGAGTAGGCCTGGACCCTTAAAAGGGTCGCGTCTGTCTTTTAAAAACTGCCCAAAGGCATGTGGATGTTTTACCAGGTGGTTTATGTAGCAATGCACCAATACATGACTTGGTTGTTGTGCACTAGGAGTATTGGAGGCTGAATGGGACCTCCTGGACAGTGACTCCAGTCTCCTGCATATGCAGGCAACCATTTGTCGGTCAGATCATGTAAATCACCCAGAGCCCTTGCCCCACTGTAGGAAGAAATAGTGTGAGGTGTTTGTGAGAGGTCTGTATGTGTCACAGCATTCTTGAATGCTTCAACTTTGCTGCTCTGAAGGGTGCACACTTTGGGATTGGTTGTCCTGTTAGAAGTGTGGGGTGGGAGCACAGAGACCATGATTAGGATATGTCCTTGTGGCCCTGATCTATCCACCCAAGATGGCTAGGCACAAAATAGCCCTGTATTGTACATCTTCATGTCTGTGTTCTATGTCTCTGTATGATTACCTGTCATTTTTTGAGAGCTATTCAGGGTTACTTTTTTCTTCTGGCCAGAAGCCTTGTAACAGCTGTGGATGGAAAGTAATCGCTGGTCTGACAGGGTGTGCCTATTATTTAACATGGTGGGATGTTAGTATTGATCTTGGTGGGAGTGGCTTGAGCAAACCCCTTTTGCTGTGATAATACTCTGAAATGGTAGGAGCTGGCAGATCATGACATTGTTTTTAGTTATATTTTTATAGACTTTATTTTAATACTTCAAAGCAGCATTCTGTTGCATTACATTTCTGCTACAGATGCATGGAGAGAATGGAACATAACAAATATTAGACCCTGAAAATCCGTCTCATACTAAACTGTTGGCATCAAAGGAATAAGCTATTAGATTTTTCCTACCAATTTACTGAAAGAGAAAAGTTAATGTTTAAAAAATAGATAGTGGAAGAGGATCAGAATTATTTAATCTATCCCCCTATTAAGTGGTATCAGAGCACATTAGGTATAATTAAAATCACTGCAGTTTATTCTGCAGATTCAGTTTGAGGCAAATCCATTGAAGACCTCTTTGAAGACGTTGTTGTTGCTGTTGTTATTTAGATATATACCCTGCCCCACTCAGAAAATCTCAGTGCCCAGGTCTTGAATAGATGTTTCCCTTGCCAAACATGGTTTTGACTATCTGCGATTAATATTCTGTATACCATTTTGCCTACCATGGTATACAGTTTTGAGTAACCGCAGATTTCTGTGGTTACTCATAGGCAGAGGAAGAAAAATTTTTTGGGGGTGCTGAGCTGGCTGGGCCGGCTCATGGGGCAGTCGGAGCCCAGTGGCTTCTCCAGAGGTGGTGCGGTCCTGGTGAGTCAAGGAGTGTTTGCGGGGGGCCGGACACTTGAGCCCCCGATCATTGCACAGGGCACGGGTGGGCCGCAGCTGGGCTCAGCTTCTGCTCCCTGTGTCCATACCTTGCTACTGCCTCGCTGCTAGAGCTGCCCTACCCATGGTGGCAGGGAATAGTAGGCTCGCTCACTGCTGTGCCCTGTTGCCCTGCTTCCCTCCCCCGCAACTCGGTGTGGCAGGTAGCAGAGAAGCTGTGTGGGGATCTCCTCACCCACCGCTGCTTGCCCTGCGCTGCTCCAGCGACGTGCCTCCTGCGCCTGCTGCTTGCTTGAGGGGTGCAGCCCTGTGCCACTGCCCTCACTGCAGCCCTATGTGCAGGAGACCTGCTGTTCCCTGCTGCCCTGCTTCCCTCCCCTGTGACCCGGTGTGGTAGGGAGCAGAGAAGCCGAGCGGGGATCTCCTTGCCCACCGCTGCTCACCCTGAGCTGCCCTTCCTGTGCGTGGGGCTGCACAGAGGGCAGCGGTCCTCCCCTTCCCCCAGACGAGCCACTCACGGCCCTGTTCTGTTCCCTTCTGGGGCCCTGCAGCCCTAAGCTGCAAGCACTGCCTAGCTGGGCAGCAGACCCACCCCTGCCCAGCTCCCTTCTGACAGGGGCCTCAATCCCCCTCTCCCCACGTTTACTGGTTCATCCACAGGTGCGGGCAGACGGCTCCTGCTGCCGCCAGTCTCGGATGGTCCCACGACCCAGCCCGGCCATGGCCCCATTCAAGTTCCTAACCCCATTTTCCCATAAGCCTCTGGTTTTATGAACTGCAGTTTTGCCAACTACAGGAACCTCCCGGAACCTAAGCCCCATGGTTGGTGAGGGAAACCTGTAAATGAATTGTGTCTTCATAGTCTAGCTTTACATAAAGTTGACTTAGATCCATGTTGCATGTTACACTTAGCATGTGTTAAACATACTTAAAATGCGAGTTGTTAAAAAGCAAAGGTCTCCCCTTGCACCAGCAATATGGTAGGATGGGATCTGATGCAGTATCCCAGCAATTGTGCTTCTGCCATGCCACACATGAATGGCAGGAAGCACAATTTTGGGCTCCAGCATCAGATCCCATTGCACTTTAACATCGGTCAGGGGCCTCGGCCAGTTTTGCATTTTAGAGACTGTAGTAAGCATTTACTGTGCGACTTGTCAGAATAGTTCTAACTTTCAGTACCTCACAAATTCAACATGTACTAAGTATGCTGTGTGTCAAGGCCCTGAGACCAACGTAATCTTTATTTAAATATGTATTACCCATGTCCTCAAATTTTATGTCCTCTCTACTCTTCCCCCTCCACCTCAGTTCTTTCTTCTTTTTTTACTGTGCTTCCTAAATGGTTTTGGTTTTGGCTGCCAGGTCACTTCTGTTACTCCATGATGTATCAACAAGGTTGAGAGCAGCAGAGACTGCCAGGTTTTAACACCCTCACTGTAAAATAAGGAGAGCTGATGGTAGGCATTTTTTATGAGGACTGCTTGGTTTTGGTGCTACTCATTCCCTTCTCTGCTTCATCCAGGAGAGCCCAGATCTTTCATATCCGAGGCATGTCCAAAACCCATTTTTCTTTTTTCATCCCTAGACTATTGAGGATGAATTAGGCTAAAATGTATGTATTTATTGGCTAATTTATGTTTTTGATTCCTGGTGTAGGCACCCAGGACACAGGCTGGATATCAGGAATATAATAAATGAGGTATTTTATGTGCTTACTTTCCAGGTGGATCTGTTTCTAATATGTATGCTATGAACTTGGCTAGATATAAATATTGTCCTGAAATAAAGGAAAAAGGACTTTCAGGACTGCCCAGATTGGTCCTGTTTACGTCAGAAGAGGTAAGAAAGAGAAAAACTGCCTTATCTTTGTTGTAGAAAACTTTCTTTTTTGACAGATGCTGGGGAAATTGTATTATTTGACTTGTATGCTTAATGATGCACCTAGCAGAAATAAATCTGTCACCCACATACATTGTGAAATAGGGTGACCATCTGAGAATGGGAGGCAGTGAATTTCCTCTGTGCATGGAAACTATCAGGGGAGATCTGATGAAGGTAGCTCTTATCCTTCTTGTCCATGAGAGCCTCTGATGTAGGAAGAAAAAAGGTTTGTTTCTACCTATAAGACATGTGGATGGATTTAGGCTCCTAGACTCGAGTCCCATGCAAAAGGTGGCCGGTTTGTTCTCCACCTTGTTACTTTTTTGTGATTCGGTTTTAAGGGCCAGATGATAGTACAAAAGCAGGTGCATTAGTGGATATTCAGGGACATGAACAGGGTGGAATAGAATTACATTTAGGTGCTCATCAGAATCCATTTAGATACCCAATAGGTGGAAAAGAATGTGCCCCTTAGTTTCCAACAGGTATAAATCCCATGGGTCTTTGCATCAGTTGTCTACAGCTGGAACATATACTGAGGTTGTCAAATAGATACCTGCTGTGGCTACTCTCCATTGTGTCACTTTCAGCACAAGGAATCTCAACAAAAATCCTTAACAGCACTCTCTAAATACCTCTTCTTTTAAATTATCTAACAACACTTGTCCGATTTAAGGTTTAAAACAAAACCTATTCAAAACCCAGGTGGGAAATGGGGTTGGAAGGATGTCCATTGGTGCTAATCCTCCTTCAGAGCTTCATCCTTTCATTGGAACTCTCATTTACCGCTCTGCCTATAATACTGTTTCACATTCGCAACACTTTAAATAAACAATACATTTTTGTTGGAAACCAGACCAGCAGAGGAGGTGTTGTTACTTGGTGTCTAGAGACGCTAGTGGAGATCAGGGCTCCATTGTGCTAAAAACCATACAAATACCCAGTTATAATACAATCCCTAGTCTTAAGAATTTATGTTCTCAAAATGCTTATGGTCTAAACCAGGGTCCTCAACCCCTGACCCATGGGCCAGATCAGTCGCCTGATACTGGATCATCCAGCCTGCAGGGCTCCCCATTGCTTTGTTGGGAGTCCCATGGGCTGTGGCTCTGCATACTGGATTTTGCCCACGACAGCAGAAAAATGCTATAATAGAGCCAGAAATGGAAGTCAGTTGTCCTTGGTAGAGTTGGGTGACTTTTTTTCCCTA